AGGATATATCATATCTAGACCATTTTGACTGGGATTTATTTGACCGGTTGCTTGTGGTAATGTAGCACTCAATCTGGTGATTCCACCGGTGGTCTGACCATGTAAAATGGTTAAGATTTGACAATGTTATGAGTCTTACAACAAGAGAAAGTCACAATTTCAGAGGATATATCATGTCTAGACCATTGTGACCGGTATTTATGTGACCGGTTGTTTATGGTAACAGTACTCAATCCGGCAATTCTACTGGTGGTCTGATCATGTAAAATGGTCAAGATTTGACAAAGTCATGAGTGCTACAAGAAAAAGTAACAAATTCAGAGGATATATGATATCTAGACCATTGTGACCAGTATTTTTCAACCGGTAGTTATGTGACCAGTTGCTTGTGGTAACATAGCACTCAATCCAGTGATTACACCGGTGGTCTGACCATGTAAAATGGTTAAGATTTGACAATGTTATGAGCCTTACAACAAGAGAAAGTCACAAATTCAGAGCATATGTGATATCTAGACCATTGTGACCAGTTGCTTGTGGTAACATAGTACTCAATCTGGCAATTTCACCGCTGGTCTGACCATGTAAAATGGTTTAGATCTGACAAAGTTATGAGCATTACAAAAGAAAGTCACCAATTCAGAGGATAAATCATGTCTAGACCATTGTAACTGGGATTTAGGTGACTGGTTGCTTGTGGTAATGTAGTACTCAATCTGGTGATTCCACTGGTGGTCTGACCATGTAAAATGGTTAAGATTTGACAATTTTATGAGCCTTACAACAAGAGAAAGTCACAAATTCAGAACATATGTGATATCTAGACCATTGTGACCGGTTGCTTGTGGTAACATAGTACTCAATCTGGCGATTCCACCGGTAGTCTGATCATGTAAAATGGTCAAGACTTGACAAAGTCATGAGCCCTACAAGAGAAAGTCATAAATTCAGAGGATATATAATATCTAGACCAGTGTGACCAATATTTTTCAACTGGTATTTTGTGACAAAATATAGCATATATCATAAAGTAGGTTCGCATTTTTGTATCTCTAGGTATATTGACTTGTGAATACTGTCCCCAACATCTGTTCTAACACAGAAACAATGTCTCAGGAGCTCAGGTCCACTGTCATATCCTGCATTTCCAGATCCGGAACTCCATATCCTCACTTGGTCACCCAGACTTCCATTCTAATTTCCTTCCAGTGCTCCTGTCTCATTTCCAGACCTAAATCTAACCTTGCACCCATCTCCTTTTAGATTACTACTCTCTGGCTACCTCTGGAGTTCCGCTGAACTCCCCTAGCATCTGACCTCCAGAAACCTCTGGACTTTGTCAGACTTCCTTCCTGCCTCTCAGAAATTAAGGGCACATACTCAGGTAAGGGGTGCAGCACACAAGCTGAAGTCAAGCCCTTTGAGTTCTCCTTCCTTTGAGCAGAACCTGAACATCCACAGACAAAACCTTGTGATGCTGTGTACTCACCCTCTCCTGGTGGTCCATCCTCTGGGAAAGGTTTTCCTGCAGAAACACAGCTGCAGAAAGATATGGGGACCATTCCTAGACATATTTAGAGTATGTCCACCAGGTTGGTACATCAGGATACCTACAGAATCCTTCTATACAGGCTAAAACTTCTAAGATTGCAGTTGTCGCATTTTTGGTGTTTTCCCCTACTTTACCATTGAATAAATGATCCAGACTACTCATATATTATCCTTACTACATATATACCTACTTCTTATCCCAAGGATCAGTTAGAAATATGGTATAATATTGTTATCTAAGGGAAAGGGGGTATGTGCACTGATAAGGGGCCTACATTCTCCAATGGACACAATCTAGTAATCAGATGCTTGCAATATATTCTAAGCATGGTCAATATCATGGTCTCAGATTTATAAAAGGATACACTAACAGTTGAGAGCTAGGGCAGTGAAATATCTCTGAAATAGAGTGTGGGAAAGTCCAAAAGCCCAAAACATCGAAACTCACCAGTTTGGTGTATATGTAGTGGTTGGACTTTTACTTACCAATCCTAATATTTCTTCACCACACTCTTCTACAAAGACTTTACCTTCAGGGCAATGTGTAGTTTAGGTTCATTATGTAGTTTACTATACATACTACTGCATTTTTAATAAAATCTTTGATGTGTATGATATATGTCAGTGACTTTCAGTGACAGGGGTAAATTGTCAAATGTCAAGCCTATGTTGTTTTGCTTATCTTACAGTCAATACTTGAGGGATCTTTCCAGAATTTTAGGACCATGACTAGGGATATATATGGGACATATCCCAAGTGTCTGATCACCAATAACATCCTTGATAGTGTTGGAGGGTTCTTATCAGTTATGTGTTCATGTATACATGCTATATTGTTTGATGTAGCCCTTCAGGGGGTCAACTACGTGGTGGAATATGTTAATATATACTCCTAAATATGTTTTGACAGTGCTAGAACACTCTCCTATCAAAGGGGCAAAATTGAATCCCCTGATTGAGTGCTACATTATGTTATGATCAACGTTCACCGATTGGTAAAGGTTTCACACAACCACTAGGACTCGTCAAGTTAAGAGCAAAGGATGAGATTGAGAGTGAACGTCTCTGTCTACACAAGGTAGGAACGAAGAGGTTAAGTCTAAAGAGAAACTACGCTAACTACCCTACCTATATACATAACATTGAGTTGGAGATATCTGAGTCTGTAATTAATCAGCCAATGAGAAAAGAATCGTACGATACTGCGCATGATGTAGGATGACGTCGTGATATATAAGCAATGATGTCAGAGACGGAGATTAAGTGATAGGAAGACATATAGTTCTAGCCCTGGGCGTAGGGGATTCGATCGGAGATGTGATTGGTGAAATGTGAAAGGGTGAAGTTGTGACATGGTGATGATGTGATAGTGTGAAAGGTAGAGGTGTCACGTGACCGGTTCGGTTATGAGACATAGCCGAAGGAAAACCAAGAAATGAAAAATGATTTGTGTTAGGAATTCGTGACACATTACCACAAGCAACCGGTTGCAAAAATACTGATTACAATGGTCCAGATATAAGCTGATACAATGCTGTATCCTTTAAATTTATGACTTTGTCTTGTAAGGCTCATAACTTTGTCAAATCTTAACCATTTTACATGATCAGACTACCAGTCACAAAAATACCGGTCACAATGGTGTAGATATAAAATCCTCTAAATCTGTGACTTTATCTTGTAAGGCTCATAACTTTGTCAGATCTTAACGATTTTACATGGTCAGACCACTGGTGGAATCACCGGATTGAGTGCTATGTTACAACAAGCAACCGGTCACATAAATACTGGTTGAAAAATACCAGTTACAATGGTCTAGATACATTATATCATAATATCTTCTGAATGTGTGGCTTTCTCTTGTAAGGCTCATAACTTTGTCAAATCTTAACCATTTTACATGGTCAGACCACCAGTATAATCGCCAGATTGAGTGCTATGTTACCACAAGCAACCAGTTACATAAATACCAGTTGAAACATACTGGTCACAATGGTGTAGATATCATATATCCTCTAAATTTATGACTTTCTCATGTAGGGCTCATGACTTTTTTAGATCTTAACCATCTTACATCATCAGACTACTGGTGGAATCGCCGGATTGAGTACTATGTTACCACAAGCAACCGGTCACAATGGTCTAGAGATCACATATGCTCTGAAATTGTGACTTTCTCTTGTTGTAAGGCTCATAATGTTGTCAAATCTTAACCATTTTACATGGTCAGACCACTGGTGGAATCACGAGATTGAGTGCTACATTACCACAAGCAACCGGTCAAATAAATCCCAGTCAAAATGGTCTAGATATGATATATCCTCTGACACTACCATCTATACTATATACACCCAGCCCATCTGTTTGCCTCAGACACTCCACCCCCTCAGCCCACTTGTCTAACATGGTACAATTATTGCCATGGGCTGGCACCGGGTGGCCCATCTCTATTGGTACATTGTCATGCCCGGCTGCCCGTCTGAGACGGGTGAATTCACTGAAGGGGCTTGCCACAATATGCAATTTACATTGCCATGCTTTGCATAATGTCCATACTGTGTTGTTGTTGAAATGCTTTCCACTGTCCGTCATAAAGGTTTCCGATGATGTGAATGCGTTGAATATACCATTTAGGCTATCCATTGTTGTCTTTGTGCTGCTGGCTGTTTTATACTTGAATACCCAGGTGTGCTGTGAGAATACGTCGAGGTAGACTCCTAATGTGCTATATCCTCCCTTCCCCTTAGGAAGTGCAAGATAATCGCCCACTAGTAGCTCGAATGGATGCCTCCTAATGACTGGTGCTAACAGTGAGTGCAAATGTGTTGGACCAAAGTTTTTGCACTTAGCACAATTTCATATGGCCTCCATGATTGAAGCATCCAGCTTTGGGCTACAAATTTGATCCAATAGTGCCATTTTTACTGCATCTCTTCCCCAGTGACCTCCTTCTGTGTGTGCTTTTTCCATCAACTTTTTTGCTTCTTCCTTTGATACACACTCCACCCTAGCTCTCACTCTGGTTTCTGCTCCCCCTCTAAGGCGCCACAGTTTTTCATCTTCAATGATATACTGCAATGCCCAATGTCTGGCTCTTTGTTTTTCCCATACCTCCTTACTTTGATCCAGATTGCAGATAGCGTCAATGACTTCTAAAAACACTGGCTCTTTAATGAATCACATCAGGAAAATGTTGGAGTGCTTTTTTTTGCCTTATTCTACTTAGTAAACTGCATAAGGAGGCAAAGGAGACTTAAGGGTGGCAAGGAGACTTAAGGAATACAAGAACATATAATCCCTCGTAATAAGCAGATACAAGGAGAAAAAAAAGAATTTTTTTATTTATGTTTAAGTAAGATTAAGGAGGAATGTCTCTAGTCACATGAGGTAAACTACAGCGCCGCATCACAAAACAGCAGGCGAAATGAACACGAACATCTTGTGCTTCGATGGCGGTTGTACCGGCTCAGGTTCGTGTTTTGGAATACTTCAAGGTCCCTATCCTACTTACATACTTCCCTCCTCATCCAAGACCACCCCTCCCCATACCATGAATCCATTCCTGCCTCCTTCAACTGCCTTGGCACCTACTCCATCTTATGGTCATCGTGGCTACCCTTCTCCACCAAAGCCCGCATACCCTCCACCCACCTCCTACATTACCCCGCCGACAACACCGGACACACCGTCGCCAAGTTATTCTACATCAACATCCCTGGCCTCAACTGCATCACCACCGACGCCCCCATGTATGGAGGATTGTACTGCCCATATAGTATTGGCATCATCATTGCCAGGTACAGGGGGTCATTAAAGGAAGCTCACCATCACCAAACAGTGGGCGAAGCAAATATGAACTTCTTGTGCTTCGATGGCAGTTGTACCAGTGCAGGTTCGTGTTTTGGAATGCCTGGTGATGACGGCGCCGATACAGTATGGCTGTACAATCTTCTGGATATGTTAGCAGCGTCATTGAGAGATGGATGGAGACCTCAGCCCAGGTAATGATGCTGCAGGGTGTAGATAGTCCTAGTCAGTGATCGCACTGTGAAGGGGAGGACAGAGATGATGACAAACCTGCCTGTCACACTACTTCAAATGCATGATGGTCAGCATACTTGTTGACGTAGAAGGCACGAAACACATTGTAGCTGTCATGAGGGCCAATTTCACGAGGCAAAAAATTGGCACAATAGAGAGGAATAAGATGAGCTGTGCAGAATATACAATCAATATGGATGATTGAAATGTCTGGTGAGCCATCATCATTGCTTGATGGTGCGACGAGGTACATTCCAGTGTCAGGATCCCGACTGTCTGTGATGTATGTGAACCAGTGAACAACTGCACACCGCAAGTATTTTGTCCGGTATTTGAAACCGAGAAAGCGCAATACTCTCGCAATCACAAGTCCATCCAAGCCACAATTGACCTCATCATTCATACTGACGAAGATGCAGTCATTCCTAGCAGGACCCCCTCGCCATGAGGTTGTTGCCCGAATATGCTCACGCTGCATGCCTCCAGGCCACTGAGATCACTGGGGGCATAGAATGATGCTGCCGCTGAGCTAAAAACCGAAACTCTGCCCATGAAAGCTAGTGCTGTCGCAGGGTCAAAATTGGGGGCTTGTGGTCCGCGATATGAAGTTGGTCATGAAGAAATTGTTGGATCATTGTAGGGAAGTTCGGAAGCTCGAGGTCACGCGTGAGTGCAGAAACATTGCGTGCACCACCCAACACTAGGAAGTTTTAGCAAACAATTTGTGTGACCTAAAGATGAGACTTACCGGGCATCGCAGCAAGTTCCACATGAGCTTGGACAGTAGGTCCATCAATGATATCGGCTGCATCTCCCTCAGCAGTCTGGTTTTGCAGTTCATTGACACACAGACAGTTCAGATGTGCTTGGGGTGCGTCTGTGACTGCATCATTGTTGTTGTCATTGTTGTCATCCAGTGACTCATGATTACCTGTACTACCAGTTAGAATACTTAAAAAGCCAGTATTCCAACAAACACTCACAATTTCTCAGCGCCTGCAAAGCATCAGATATACATGACCCTTGAAGCATACCACAAGCCTCAAAGTCGCTTCACGCTGCAGCTATTTTATCGAGGCATTGGTTTGTGAGGAGCATCTGGCCTAATGCTTTGAATCTCTTGGAGTGGCGCCAGGGCTCCTTAACTGCCTTGATGTGCTTCGACTCTATTATTGATGAACAAAGGCCGTTTGGGGCGCCATAGAGCCAGATCATAAGGGAATAGTGGTTTAGGGAGTGTTGACGCGGAAATGAGAAGCCCAGTACAACTCCTGTTGTCTTGAAGATTTCGCAGTACTGGTGAAAACGATCGAGTGCATCTTGAAGCTGGATGAGATCATCCTCTGTAATTGTGTCTCACCGGACTATGTAGCAGAAGTCAAGGAATGCACGAACTACATCTCGAGGAACATGACCTTTAATGGCAGGCAGATAGACCTAGATAGTAGTAGCGTTAACTTGCGCATTATAATAAAAATCAGTCATGACTGACCTTCATCAAAGCCTTGGAATCATCACCTGTCCACTGCTTGAATCCGCGCCCTTCTGGAAAGCGCCATAAACCTGCAAAAGGGGCGACTGCCGCTATCCTGTTGGAGTACCTTGAGTACAATAGTGATTTGTTTAAAAAAGACACATACCTTCAATCAATGTCATCCATGATCTCTGCTGTGCATGAAGCCCTGTGTGTGAGCAACAAATATTCTTCTACCCAGTTGACAAGGTGATCCTTGAACGGCTCTTTGATGATTTGGTGCAGGAGGTCTGGAGAGAGAAGTTCATGGATATCTGCTCGAGGAAAATAATTTGTGAAAGGCTGAAAAAAAACAAATGAGAAGTTGATGTGCACGAGAACTGAACAACATACCACAACCTCTTGGATGATACCATACTCGTATCAGAGGTGGGCATGCTGGAGCTCTCAAACCAGGAGGTCAGTGTGTTCTCTGCACTGGAGCAAAGATGGCCCGTCACCTTTGAGATTCTTGTGATGATTCAAACACCTTAAACAGCATGAGTGTAAGTCAATAAATATGCAGAAAAAGACATACTTCAGACACCAGTTTTGAACAACTCCTGAAAGCACCAGTTGCTCTGGATAATCGGCGATGTATGGGCCTAACCCATATATGACATGCTGATAATGGCTGTCAGGACAGCGCATAATGTCGGGGATTGTCATATTCAGCTTCACGGAATCAAATATCTTGGCAAGTGAGGAGTGAAACATTTGACGGCGGAAATTGCAAAAGTCTTTGTCCTCAAGATGTTCCTTTGTGCCTAGAGTACGAATAACGAAAATGAGTGACTGAAACAGTGTATCAAGGCATTGACTCACTTTTTGGAATAGCCAAGAAGCCTACCAGCACCACGCCATTGCGATGTGCGCATCGAACTCCATTAAAAATGTTTCCGATTGAGAGATAGAGCGGATGGTACTCAGTGTGTCCTGTGGCCACTGAGACCATAGTCTTGTCGCTGCCAATGATTAGAGGCACAAATGTTGATCTGTGGGTTTCCAGATCCTCTGCAATAATGTCCTGTAAAGTGATGTACTGTTAGTTGGAAAAGTAGGCTCTGTCATATCCTGTACCTCCAGATCCGGAACTCCGGATCTACTCCATTAAAGTCCAGTTCTCCGTCCTGCTATTCCGCCCGGCGCTCCGCCTTCATCTCCGCACTCACCCCTAACTCCTTTTAGATTAGCTATTTCTCTGGTCACTGGTTATGTCCTTTCTGCTATGCTTATTGATCTGTCCATTCCTACTTCATTTCCGACTTCACTGCTTTGATCCATTACACTTAGTAATAGACTTTCCACATGCTTCGTACATAGCCCTTACCTTTGCTGACTGATTTACTTACATGTTACCTACAGTATATAAACCCCTGTAATACTCCGGAACTCCTTAGTTTGAATATCATCTTAGTTCTGCTCATTCCTGCAAATCTCCGGACTTGAGTCTCACCTCTTGTCCACCTCCGAGTCTTAGGGGTTAAACCTTAGGACTACTTCTCTGGCTCTACCTTACGGTAGTCTAACCTCTGTTCTGTTTCTACTCCAGACTTCCGTAGTAGCCTTACTCCGTCCCCACATAAGCCTTCCGGAGTTCCGCCGAACTCCACCGACACTAGTCCTCCGGAACTCCCCGGACTTCCATTGGACTTCCCCTCTGTCCCCCGGAAATTAAAGGGCACGTACTCGGGTAAGGGGCACAGCACACGAGCTGAAGCTGAAGCCCTTTGAGCAACCTCTCCCTTGAGCACAACCTTAACAGCTCAACACAAAGCGAAATGTACGGCTTGTTTCCAAGCCCAATCACCAGAGAAAAAGTTCTTATAACAGCGTTTATCCTCGTCGGTATAGTCCCAATATGGGACATATTCAATTTCAGTGGCGAAGTCAGGGTTTGAAAGCATATGGTGAACAAGTAGATGTGGATCATGGAACCACACGTCGTACTTGGTGGTCATCCATGGCGGAACATTATTGGCCGGTTTAACTCCATTGTAGGACATTGAGAAAGTCTCCCAAGTAACATCGCCAAGAGGAGTCAAATCGATGGTTTCATATAGGTCCCGGTGGCCGGTGAATGGAGGACTGTCCTGATGTTTGATAAGTGTTGCTGCCCAGAGGTCAAGAAGGGTGTCAATTTGACCTGCAGACATTTGGTTACGTGTATAGAGGAATTCCACTGCCTCAAACACAACACGACTTTCATATGGGGTCCAGTCAGTGGGTGATGCTTCAGTTCAGGGTGGTGGGGGCGCATTTTGGTCAATGAAGTTGCCATGAACATTGCACTTGTGTCCTGTACTATGAGTTAGATCTGAATGAATGAATGAATGGTGCAAATTTGTTACCTGTGAGATGAGGATGGAATGTTCGGAATAACGGCCCCAACTGTACACCCTGTGCTGGCATAAAGGCTTTGTCTGCGTTTTCTAGACCACCTCCCATGTTGTTAGCATCATCAAAGTCGTCATGCCGGGGACTTGGAGGCCAATTATCAAAGGCAGGATTCTCAGGACTTGAAGAGTGAGACCTGGGAGCTGCTTGATGGAAGGTTGGATGATTGCGCAATGGCTTCAGGTGTGCTGAGTGCACATGCTTTGTTTGACCTGACTTATTTTTGAAGACCTGTTTGCATCCAGGAATGCGACAAGGCAACCGCGTCATTTTCACTAGAAACAGTAAATGTAATTGTTTGAGGCTAAGTTCAACAACTCAAGGTAGCGGCACACTGTGTGAACTTGTTTATTTCGGGTCAGATTGAGTTGACAGAAACCAAGGCTCACCCTAAACTGTTGAACCTTAGTACGAATCACAACACCTTAGTCAGTTGTGTTTTCTTGAGTCGTTCAATTTGTTGTGTTGTTCATTTTCCTCCCATCATTTCCCCAAACCTCAATTCCTCATGTCTCGTCCACAAACACGTCCTAGCAATGTAAACAAGCATCCTGGAAATATTGTCCAGGAAGCGAACTGAGTGCAGTGGTGGTCCAAAGAAGAAGTCACTGCTGAAAAAACTGTAAGCAAGCTGAGAAGAATGCTCGTGCTGCAGCAGCAGATAAATCACATACAATGATTGCTGCAGCTGAAGATGCTATGGCCAACCAGCAGAAGACTCAGGTGAAGGGCCCTCCCAAGCTCATTCAGCCACACATGGTTGCCAGCAAAAAGAGCACCAATCTGGCAAATGCGGATGCACAACCTGCAGTTATAGGTGAGTCATGACCCAGCACTCAGTGAATGATTTACCTAATCGATTGATTGACTCCTGTATAGCAGTTCAATCAACTGCAGCTCCTGAAGATGACAGTCAGGCTAGTCAACCAGTAAAGAAGAAGTGTGCTGCCTTGAAGTTAAACTTTCAGGACAGCGTGAACGCCAATCGCAAGGTGTCCAATGGTGGAGTCACAATCATCACTGGTGACAGTGACACACATGTTGGAAGTACAACAATTGGCGATGGGAAAATCAAAACATCGTAAGTTTCTGTTTGACCACAATGCTGATTCTATCAGAACTCACACTATATTACTTTGATTACATCTGTGCACACCAAATCAGCACCAATCCCAGGCAGGTGATAAGTTCCAACCTCGAAGGGCCCATTCCCAACTGGGTGGACAAAGTTGCATCACAAACTCAGCTGAAGCCAAGCACGCCACCAAGTGCACAAACCTCTGTCAGGACAGGACAAATTGCAGAGTCTGATGTGGATCTTGATGATGAACCTGAAGAGTACAGTGAGCCGGCACCAAAATCATATGGGGGAAAGGTGAGTAGCGATTTGAGTTGTGAATATGTACTCACCAAAGTCAGAACATCGTGCATGTAAATGAGACACTGAAATCCACCTCGAGAGGCAAGAAGCACTCACTCCCAAACACAGTCTTCTGCAGATGAACTTGAGGTCCTAAACACCATAGAAGTACTTGAGATCCTGGAGGACCCGGAGGCTGCTGAAGAATTTGAGATGGTTGAGGACAGGGAGTCTGCTGAAGAGGGCGATGAGAGCGATACAGCAATGATGGTGGATCATGATCAACCCACCATCAACACTCAGGCTAGTGTGGCATGACACACAATCTCTGTAAGTCATTGGTTGATAATGATGCAGGAAAGGACAGATACCTGGATAGATGTTAGTTGATGTCTCAGAGCAGAAGACCGCAACAAAACAGGGCAAGGGCAATACCAAGGTCAAGGCCGAGGTCAAGACCGAGGTTGTAGCCTCGGAAAATATTCGCGCAAAGATCAAGAAAGGAAAGGCAAGAAATGAGCACTTACCCAGTGGAGTCCTCAAGAATGGATTATGGCGCATGAGGTTCCCTCCCTGTCTGATGTATTGGATTGGTAACAGCGACTATGGATGGACTGTACCAGAAACCGAACTTGGGTCTGTTCTTGAGCAAATATATTACACGGTGTACCCACACAAACTCGGAGGGTGTGATTTTGATGTCGAGGAATTGGCATTTCAACTGGTTTGCATTCTAGTCTTCACTTGTAACAGCCACTGATTCACTTACTCAACAGGTCAGCCAAAGGGTCCACAAGTGGTGGGCTTCATTCGGTTCAACAGCCAACAGTGTTTTGATAGCTTTTTTCGCTTCGACACCCAAGTATAAGACTCAGGAAGCCCATGAGGAATACACTGAGGAAAAACTCAAAGAATGCCACTTTGTATATGAAGATCCTGAGAACGAAGAGCAACCAGGTGCATTCTTGTCAGAGTACATATTGCGCATTTTTGCTTCCCACCTCACTGCGATCGCTGGGCAAGTGAGGGTGGATTCATTGGTTGAATTTGGCAAGCCTGGGTATCAGACTGCGCTGGTGCTGTCAGCAGTGGCAGTAAGTTTAACTTTTCTTTTCCTCTTTTTTGAGCTGGAGAACGTTGACTATATTTCTTAGGCCCAGTGCACTCTCATCTTGGTTAAAAATCGCTTACTGGTTGATAGCAATCCCTCCGACAACAGCGGCAAAAACCACAAGATTATCCAGATACTTAATGAGGCGACTAATAAGATGAGTCATACTGGAACAGCATTTTCATCTGGAAATTGGGAGATGGACACCATGGTGTACATGGATAGTACCAAGGATCTGCCTTACAAACGTATCCAGGAGATTCTCACTTGGGCAGAAGAATACATGAAGCACCCACGTAACAATCGCCACAGCACAGCGGATGAACCTTATGGTTCCAGCGCTTCAATCACTCCAGTCAACAAACACTCCCGCCTTCGTATCTGTAACATTTATTTTTTTCTCATTTTTTCAACCGCTGATTTTATTCATTCAACAAGAGGATGCATCGTTTTTTGAGTAAGTAGTTTTTCAGATCTCCGTAATTGTCTTACTCATCCATTAATGTTAACAGAGACTGCGATATCATCATTCCCTGCTCTTTCAACCTCTGCAGCCATGGCCCCACTGCTCACATATACCCTTTTTACGAGCCTGCTCTATTTGCTATTGAATATGGATGCTATAAACCACTCTCCTTTAGTTTTTGAATCTCCTTATTTCACCTTAGTTTAGGCTCCTGGACTGATCTGTGTGTTCCTTAATGATATTCCTTTTGTGTGCTTATATTGTGCTTACATCTCTTAAATGCACCAGTGGCCTTATTTTAAGGAGATGGACCTACTGAATCTCCTTATTTTGAGCAATGAAAATCTCAACTTTAAGCCACAGATAAGGCATCTAAGACACTTTAAGGATCATTTAAGTGGACCGACGTTTTCCTGATGCACATTTGAAGGTTCTCTATTGTTGGGTTTGTTGATGTTATGAGCATCACATTGTTTGCTAATCCTGTTCAAGCCTCCCAATCCTCACTTACCATCCACTCACTACTGTCTCCTGTAGTTGGTGGTATTTGTTCCCATTTGTGGCTAAGTCTGTCAGCAACAATGTTCAACTTCCCCAGAACATGTCTCACATCCACGATATTGTATGCTAGTATACCTTCTCGCCATCACGTATGTGCCACATTTAGCATTGGGTTCAATAAGGTGTCCTTTAATGCATTGCAATCTGTCTCAATTTTGACCGGGAAACCCCAGATTACACCTGAAAATTTATCTAAACCCAATTTCAGTGCCGCAAATTCCAGCAAATAAGATTTGTACTTCCTTTCTGTCTGTGATGTCTGTTTTGACGTGAAACCTATTGGGTGCATGTGCTCAACCCATTTTCCAGTAGGTGTTTGCATTTTAATGCATTGTGATAAAACTGCTGTGAATCCTTCTATACACCTGTCTGTTGTTACAACAAATATTGAACCATCATATCTTGGTGCTTGAAGTACTGGCCTTGCTGTTATAGCTGCTTTGAGGTCTAAAAATGTGTCAGTGTGTTCTATTGTCCAATATTGATCAAGTTTGAAATTGGTCATCATTTTATGGTATGCTGTTTTGCTATACGAGCTATTCAATGGGACCTTGAGTAACAGGTCCCTTAGAGGACCTTCCCATTTTGCATACACTTTTATTAACAACCTGTAAGACCTAAAAATGATGTCAGCCCCATTGCATTTGCCAGTCTTGGCCAATCTACAATTGCTGTAAGTTTAGTTAGGTCCAGTTTTACCCCTTCTTGTCCGATCATGCCTCCCATGAACTCCATTTCTGATATGCAAAACTTTGTTTTTCCTGGAGCAATCGAGAACCTGCACTCTCTGAACTGAGTGAAGATAATGTTCAACTTGCTCATCATATCCCTAAATGTGTCAGCTGCACAACCTCCATCATCCATAAACAATTCCATAAGGTATGTCACCAAAAGATCGTGAAGTCTTGCTGCCAGTACATCGCAAAATGCCATGGGTGCTCCCATAATGCCCATTGGCATCCGTTTATACCAAAAGTAACCTCGTCCTTCAATGTAGAACACTAGATATGGTCGCCACTGTTCCAGTACTTCAACTGCATAGTATCCGGCTGCAAAATTGAAGATCAAAATATAGCGATGTCCACTAAGTCGCTGTTGTTTTTCCAGGATATCCCCTTGTATCATTGATATGACCTCTGTGACTTTATTCAGCTGCGCAAAATTTTGACATATTCTCCATTTCCGTGGTCCTTTGCTTGGACTTGTGATTTTCTTTGCTTGAGGTATTTTGCACTCGGGTAGTTCGAATGCTGGAGCTCTTCCTGCATCTCAACATTGGTTGTTGACCCTTTGCTTCAACTCTTCCTCCAATAGTCCATTCGTCTCATGGGCTTTCTGAGCTATGACCATAGTAGCTGTGCACTTGATTAACTCCGGCGGTGCCCACTCTATGATCCCAACTTTCAACATCTCTTCCACTTGCTTGTTGTAAAAATGTGATTGTTCTGGGGTTAATGGTCTTTGGTGTATGTGTAGGTTGAATGTTTTGCCTTTGGGTACATTAAGGTTCAGTTGCGCTCCTGGTATTATGCTAACTTCCCATAGTGAAAGTGCAAATGAATCTGCGTTATCCCTGATGAACTGTTCTAATTCTTGTTGTTCATTGTCCGTGAGATTGTTTCCAATTGTGACCTGCCAAATGATTTCTGCTACTCACTCTGGCTTGAATGGGTTCTCTTGCCTTGTGTATATTGAGGGGTCTTGACTGGCTAGCGGCAATTCTGGTAGTTCTCCCAGTAATTGTTCTGTTGGGTCTGAAGTATCGTGCATGATGATAACCCTAATATTGCTTTGCTTCACCTTCTCTTCTTCTTCCCTGATGTGTTCTATGTTTCATGTCAATTGTTCCACTTGCTCCTGTGTTTGCCTGCCACCTCTGCTCTTTTCCACAGTTGTTTCAACTGTTTCTTATCTTGATGCCACTGTTGGTGTCCTATCAGTCTCTATTGCCCCATTGGAACACAAGGTGCATATGTTGCTTGCAAATGTTCTGACTTATTGTCAGTTTCATGTGTTCTGCTATTACTAGGATCTGTCAAGACTTGCCTCGAGGGGGGTGTTTCCAAACCCCCCACTATATTATCCCACTGTTTGTTGTCTAGCATTAGGCTCTCTTTGTCATTCGGTGTATTCGTGATTTGGTTGAATAATATGACCTCCCTGTGTTGGTCCGTGATATGGATGGTATCTGTTTTGTACTCATGTACTGCCTTGAATGCCTGTAACATTGGCTTTCCAAAAAGGAATCCCCATCCTCCACCACTATCGAAGACCTCAAACTCCCCTTCCACTTGTACTCCCTTGATCTCTATCATTCCCGACCATTTCGCTAACAAACTGACAATGTTCCCGTTTGCCATGTGTAGTTGTCATTTTGATCAATTCCAGTTATGTAGGCGATGTTTGACCTTGTTGAATATTGATGTACACATTGCCCCAACCATAGCCCCGTCATCAAAAAGTGCTCTAACTCTGATGATCTCCCCCTTTGGACCTTCTAGCACAATTTGATGTAGAAATGGGACTGTTTCCTTCACTTCTACTTGTTGTCATGTTGCCATTACATGTCCCACAGTATACAAGTCACTGATCTGAATTGTTTTTGGCGAGTCTGGTACAAGTGCGACTGGCATATTATCTATAGGTTCATTGATGGGGTTGGGGTGTGCAGTGACGGTGTTGTCCTCGTGCACTGCCTCTCTGTGCCTGAGGACTGTCATCTTAGCTTGTGTATTTATAACACTTTGGGTCAGCATATTGCCTTCATCTATGCTGACCCTTCCACTTTTCCCTCTACATGCTCTGGGAGTTCCTCGAGCCATGCTGTTGTGTATTGCGGTGAGTGGTTGACCACTAGCAAAATTGGTATAGCTGTTGCCCTGTTAAATGTGCCTAACACCCTACTCACTATCACCCGCCATGCTGCCTCCTTACGCAACAACCTCTCTGGGTGGTCCATTGGTAATGGGAAGTTACGCCCATTGTGTCCGTGTGTTCCGCAAGCAAAACACTCGCTCAGTCCTATCGCTGCTGTGCCTGGCCTGAGCGGGTAGCTTGTTTCATGTGTGACACAAGTGTTTTCCCCCCACTTCGTGTTCCACTGCGTAATCTGTGTCCTGTATGCCACATTTCCTATTGTTGTGTCCAGGTGATGAGTTAAAGCTGTGACTAAGCATCTAATTGCTATCTTCATATCTTCTGTTATGATGGTTGGTTGCTGTGGTTGCATGGGTTGTCTCATGAACATGGGTGGTGTGTTTTTCTGAACTTGTTGCATTGGTACTCGGGAATATCTGTTGTTACCCTGTATCCCCGACATTTGTTCCGCTGCTATTGACATCCTGCTGAACTGGTTTTGAAGCACTTGCAATGAATTCTGCTGCAATTGTTGCTGAATGCAGGGTGCTAAGTCTGCTCATAGCGCCTTGAGTTCTAGATTCTTCTGCTCTACCCTCTCCACCAATCTAATGCCATTGATTTTCACAACTGCTTCTGTAAATTCCACCCAATCCTTGTATTCATCCTCGACCAACATATCCTTGATGATGGCTGGCAAGTTGCATTGTACTTGCCATATCATAGATGTGTGTTTTGCGATCCCCACACTCATTGCTAGCTGCAGGGCTTTTGCTGCCCATGCGACATGTGACCAACACTCCTTGTCATATAGTGTTGTCCTTTTCCCAACTTCTTCGTTCTTTAGCACATGCTCCAATAATTCCAGCTTATATTCTGCTTTTGTCTTCTCTGCTATTGTGACCGGTGGCCAATGTGTCCTGAACACGGTCGTGAACATTATCCATGTTGCTTTTTCTGCCAATCCTAACCCATTAAACCACGCTTCCGCCTGCAATCCTGTTCTGAGATAATCCTTGAATGCTTCTATCTTGTCGCTGTCTGTTTTAACCAATTGTTCTCTCATTGCCCTGTTAAAGGACCTGAAGAAGTCCACAGGATTCTCGGACATTCATCCATTGCCCTGAAAAATTGGCAGGCACTCTGATGGCATTCTTGGTTTTTCTGGGGATGTAGGACGTGAAACTGGTGTTGTATATGCAACTGGAGAGTGGTGAGTCTGCTTGGATTCCCAGTAGGAATGAAGGTATTTTGATTTCTAATCATGGCACGACAAATTCGCTCTCTGGGAATGGGATGGAGCTTTTATCTGCTTCACTGTTGATTGATGGGCTTCGCAGTTGTTCTGGCATGTCCAAAGGGGATGATTTGCCGGAAGTGGTTGTCGATAAAAATTTGCTTCTCAGATTGGTTATCGCTTTTCCCTCTTCGTTTCTGCTTCATAACTTTGGCATTAGCTTGTGGTTGTTCTTAAACGTAAATTGAAAGCAATTGCACACAGTCCTTTTACCAAGTTGTACAGGTGTCATATTAATGACACCTGCCGTCTAGCTTAGCCTACTTAGGCATACTGCGATGTAAACTGGTTCTAGTTCCGTGGGGCATTGTTGTTGATCCGAGACTTCATTGACTAAACTTTTGATGTTGTGAGACTGAGTGCGAAATGAACTACAGTTGATATGCTCATAATGCATATGGTTGGGACCATCAAAAGTTTATGCATTATGAGAAATATGCAAGACCAGATATGTCACACTATTGTAACATGTGTGACCTCCACCAAAATTGTGACACGAAGTTATCTATAGTGTCTACAAAAAGTACATGTATTATACTGAGAAGAATTGTTCTAAAGAGGTTTGTCTAGCATTAAGTAGTTCTTCTCGTCGTAGATTAGCACAAAAGATGCGAAGTTGTGATGATAAATTGAGTGAAAATTGAGGATCACCATATTGCATGCATGCCACTTTGAGCCGCTGGCACAGACTGAGGAGATCTGTGCATGTGATTGATAGATCCACTGTGTCATTGTCGTCGTCAGAATTGATGTTAATAATTTCACCATTTGCGACGGCATTCTCATGACGGACCTTGTCTGCAATGGATTTGTTGCCACCTTCAAATGCAGGCAATTCCCCCATATCTCTCTCCTCGGCAGGGTCCAGAAGTATGAGCAGAAGTTCTAGGAGTGTCCTTGGTGATTTTCCGCTGCTTCATAGATCGGTTGGAAGCTGCAGCAGGCTTCTCGTGGGGTTTGCACTTCAAGTTTATAAACATCTATGTGTATGGTACCGTCGCAATCACACAGGTTCGTGTCATATTGATGCATCAAATAGTGCAACTGTAGCGCTCCAGTGATGCATCATCGGTGCAATTGTACCACCCTTTGCCTACCTCTGCTTTCTGATGCATCCCCTCCGTCTACTAATGCATCAGTGCAACTGTACTATTCCAGTGATGTATCCCCTCTGTTTATGATGCATCCCCTCCGTCTCTCATGCATCATGCATCCCCTCCATCTGATGCATCATGCATCTCCTCCATTTATCATGCATCATGCATCTCCTCCGTTTATCATGCATCATGCATCACACCTGCCCTTGCCTTCTCGCATCCCACCTCCCGTGGCGCCTTCCCGCTTTTGTGCACCCATTGTCTCTCGCCTGCTGTTGCCATTTCTTTTTGCGCATTTGCTCTATTTTGTGCCCTGCTCTTGCTATTCTAACTTGACGGTCACATTAAAACAATGCAATTTTTGATACCAACTCTCGCTAACTGTGACAGAGGTTTATGTACTACTAGTATCCAAGTCCATGTCTTTGAACAAGTCCACGAAAGCCAGGGTATCAGCCCAGCTGGTCTTGAAAGACTCGGCAAGCATTCAATGTAAAACAGCTTGACATTTCGCATATGCCATCTGTCCCTTGCGTTTGTCTGTGTCTTGTAGTGCATTTCCCAGGCCCCGCTCATCCCAGCACTGTGCATCCCACTCAAAAAATTGCTGGATCCTTTGCATCTCCTCCTTCAACAATTCCACCTCTTCTGCCCAGTGCATCGCCCGTGCCCTGGCTTTACACCACTCTATTCGCATATCTGATCAACCGTGAGCTGACTAGGAAGCAAAAATGAAGAGCTGCCTACCTTCGAGAGTATTGTCCTTGTCCATCTCGTTGGGAGCCGCTCCCCGCATACTCCAGATCCATGACAACTTTTTTGTTCCCTCCAATTCTCCCCATAGTAAGTCTGTCATTGAGTGGATGTCAGCTCGGTCTAGCGGCCGCAGTGACAAGTGCCACCCAGACTGGGTCTGATTCACTTGTGGTGCAAGAACCACGAGTGATTTATGTGCATGCTTGTAAGTGCTGGCAGCGGCCTCGATCCTCGCTTCAACAGCTTTCAACATATTCTGTGCCCTCGTGTTCGCTCCTTGTCCACGAAGGTTGCGGTCTTTGTACTTCAGGATGGCAGACTGAGCACGTAAGTTTGAGCGTAGAGAGTGGAGCGCATCATGAGCTTGCGCATACCGCAGCTTCCATTCAATGTCTTGGAGGCGTGCGTCACAAGCCACAGTCCTGCTGATCTGGGATGGCAGCCATAACTTAATTGCTTCTGGTGCAACGGCCACGTTGTTTGATACAGAACTCTCACTTGCATGTAGTGCAGCGAGAAATGGCATGTATAATTCCTGCATCTTCACCCAGGTGTCAATCCTCCGTTGGAGAGTGTTGCTTCATTGAAGCATCTTCCCTTCTTGACCATCTGTTGCGTGAACTCCGAGGCCAGCTCTATCTGCTTTCATTCGCCGTCTATCAAAGTAAGAACAAGGTCTGATAAGCAACGGTTGAGACACTCACTGCTGTTCCTCAATTTCTAAACCTGTACTGATCAACACACTAGGGGTGCAGTCCTCATCAAGGGCAAGGCAAGTCCCCATTTGAAGGTCAACCTGGTCCTCCCTAGCCAGCTCCAGCCATACAGAAGCCATGGTAAGAGCTGTGATATACGGAGGATCAAGATGAGCACATAGCATTACCATCACAATCTCACACTTACTTTCTGCCTTTCGTTCGAAAGGATTGAGTTGCACAGCATCACGCTCCCAAGCCTCTACCTGCTCCCGCCATTGTTCGAGGGTGGCACCATATTTGTCTCACAAACCATCGTCGAGATCCTCAAACACCTCACGATGGTTCTCTCACTCTGGCAATGCGTCTTTAATCTTGCGAAGCATAGTACTACCTGATAAAATGTAAATTAATGTATTATTTTGACGAAAATAAACTCACCAAGTCCAACAATCTTTTTCGAATTTGAGTCTCCAAAGTAGTCGTTGAGGGTGTCTCGCCGTGCACCAGGACCCATTTCTTTTGTGCTTGAAGCGACAGGGTTGATGTTCGCCCAGCCACATTCTGGTGCCTCTCCATCAGTCCTTCCTACCCTGCTCTTGAAATTAAATGAAAACAATGTTTGGCACTGCTCGATATGGGCGGGTAGGTGGAACTTCGGCACAAAAAATGAGACAGTCTTGATGGCCTGTGGGAGCTGCATTGAAAATGGAAAGGCACTCATACAGTGCCATAAATTTTTGTGCCATTGGCACGCAATATCATAGGATACGTTGAGAGTGTCAAGTACAGCATGACGAAGTGTCGAGAAAAATAAGTAGTCCATGTTAATATATCTATGTGCTCACATTAGATTGACAACTGCGGAATGGAAACAACAACTTATTTTTTGCCCTTTTGGAGATCCCCCACTGCATTGGGGCGTTTCATGTTGTGGTGAGCGCAGTCAACGGTACCTAAACCGGTAGCAGCAAGTCCGCAGTTACATTTCATATCAGCCATGTTTACGGCGTTGACTTGAACACGTTGATTTCTGCCAAAAAAGCAGTGAATATACAAAATGAATAAATAAAACTAACAAACCTCTTGGACGCAGTCCGCACTGCTATGCAAGAAGTATTTATAAGCTTCTTCCTCCATGAAATAACCCCAGCCACAACTCAGGCTTGGGTCAACGTTGTCATTTGAGATGGCCTTGCGTTTTAACCGGAAATTAGCATCGATAGTGAGGAACAACGCATACAACCACCTAACAGGACCTACAGTGGCTCAAAAAACTGTCCACATGTTTTCACATTTTTCACTATCTATGATATTGTGTGAGAATATACAAACACCTCAAGGACATGCTGGTACCATATTGTAGCACCACTTCAGGGCTTTCAATTGAGCACTATGGCGTGGGAATTGGTCAAGATATGGTTGAGATATGAGGCTTCCAAAATGATGACTCATGTGGACAGTTTTTTGACTCAAGTATTTTACAGTGATAATCAGGTATTCTAGTACTTTGTGTGATCTCCCTTGGCTTTAATTACTGCCTCTATCCTTCTAGGCATACTCTCAATCAATTTCTGGCAATATTTAGTTGCAATCCTTCCCCATTCCACTGCTACTCTCTCCCATAGCTCCCATACTCCTTTAGGGGGGTTTCAGAGGCTTGAAGCTTCTTCTTGAGTGTTCCCCAGAGATGTTCAACGACATTGACATCAGGGGACTGTTCTGGTCAGTCAAGAACATTGATATTATGTTCTTCAAACCATTTTCTGGCTCTCCTAGATGTGTGCTTGGGATCATTAGCCTGTTGGAAAATGATGTCTTCTTCATCAATCCCTGATTCAGCTATACTAGGCAGCAAGTGGACATTTAGAATGTCCACATACTGCTCAGCATCCATCCTCCCCTCAACTTCAGCAAGCATACCCACACCATTCCATCCAATACAGCCCTGTACCATTAGAGAACCTCCTCCAAATTTGACAGTCTCACCAACCTCTCTGTCTGTTAGAGAATCTCCCTTCTTTTTCCATACATATACCTTCCCATCTGACCATATAACATGCTTCCAGTGCTCTACAGTCCAGTTTTGATGGGCCAAGCCAAAGGTAGTCTTCTCTGCCTATGTTTGATAGAGAGAAGAGGCATTTCTTCTTTGTTACTGCCTTGAGATGAACTGCCTTGAGAACATCCCTCACAGTTTGTGAAGAGACAGTGGTGGTGATGGTGGAATTGATATAATGGGTGGCTTGGACAGCATTATCAGCCTTTCTTGCAGTGATATGTTGAATGATAACCCTCTTATTAATAGAGGTGGACATCCTCCACAAGAGTTTCCATGTCCAGGTGGCTTTCTTTGATAAACTTGGCCACAGTAGACTTGCATACTCCAGTTCTAGAGGAAATTTGATGAGCAGAGAGGCCAGAATAGGACAAAGAGAGGATATTATCCCTTTGAGCAGAGGAGATGGCTTTAATGGTGATTATGATCATGACACATGAAACATTCTGGTTTATATAGTTAGATATAGTTTTAAGAGTATGCCTAGAAGGATAGAGGCAGTAATTAAAGCCAAGGGAGGTCACACAAAGTACTAGAATACCTGATTATCACTGTAAAATACTTGAGTCAAAAAACTGTCCACATGAGTCATCATTTTGGAAGCCTCATATCTCAACCATATCTTGACCAATTCCCACGCCATAGTGCTCAATTGAAAGCCCTGAAGTGGTGCTACAATATGGTACCAGCATGTCCTTGAGGTGTTTGTATATTCTCACACAATATCATAGATAGTGAAAAATGTGAAAACATGCGGACAGTTTTTTGAGCCACTGTATATTAGTAATTCTACTCTGGACTGAAGCTCATTCTAAACTCACTGTCGAGGAGACTCTTTCCAATCTGCGGGAAGGTTCTTCCCTGGGTGTGGGCATGCTGGGCACAATATAGTGCATTCACCCTCAGCCGTCCCATCTACACCACTAGGGTCATGACCTCGCCCTGAGCACTTAAGCATCTTCAAGTGGCGCCACTCGCGTACCATCCTCATAAACGATTCATAATGATCCTGTAGGGAAGCTGGAGTCACTTCAAAGGTACTTGAAAGTCAGAATTTACCTTGATGGGAAGCAGGCCGGTGTTATCAGACATCCGCCTGAGTGAGTGATAGAATTCAAAGGTGGACACTTTAGACTCGAACAATAGTAGATGATACTGCTCGAGAACATGGAATGTCGCAGCAGTTTTTGGATCTGATGTTGTTGAAGGAAACAAAGATATTCAAAGCAGCTGTTGAAAGTGGCTTTCGGCTGTTACACAATCACAAAAGTCGAGGGACACTTCATGTATACCATGCGAGTTGACAATGACAAAATCATCATTGAATGCGCGACAAGGAGTAAGACATCTCTGGCCAGTAGGGTGGCCAAGCTGGATGCAAAGGCCCATGGTTTTCAGTGAGATCCACTCAAAGTAGTTACCATTCCATTTCTGCATTGATATTAGATATTAGTTTTATGACCTAATCTCCACTCAAACATGAAAATGTACCTCTAATCGGTGAAGTGGATGGCATACATGAGCTGACAAGATGCAAGCTGAGCAATAGAGTTCTGAGCCTAAACAGTCATGACACCTGTACTCTGGGGTGGGACAATCACATTCCGAGCAACACTGAGCACCGACTTTGTTGCATCTGCCTTCCAGACGGATTATTTCGCGAAGGAATAATCCTCGGTACTTTAACCACATCAACAAAGGATGATCCTGGATAATCACAGTGAGGGACGTATGAAAGGATTCGGAAAATTATAGTGTACATACACCTGCTGCCTGTTTTCTTCTTTGCTGGCCTAAAAAGTCTAAAGAAACGTCGAGCGGGAGATCATCAAATGGCTCAGGAATCGAAAATGGTGCATCATGCAGAGTCAGTGCAGCACGAGATTGATTATTGATGGTCGGTTTAGCATTTTTGGGAGGTTTAAGACGCTGCAATGTATAGCTGATGGACCCATCTTGGTGAACTTGATATTGGGTATGCTGGCGAGAGCTTGAAAGCACTGAGCAGTAAAAATTGAGCTTGGGTTTTTTCTTCCGCTTCAATGTTGCCTTAGTGCATATAATAGTCTGAACTGAGGATGCAGAAGAGCCAATAGCACAAGCAGTATCTGTAGTAGACATTTTCCATTGAGTCTGGTGTTCAACAGGCTGGTCTGAGCTAATGCTTGGTGGGAGCCACTCGAGTATTTGCACATTCAGGGTTACAGAAACATCATGTAAATGACATCATTATTCTCAAAATGACTAGTACTTGTCATTTTTGTGGTATGACGTCCTTCGGAATAACTAGTCCAAACTAAAAACTAAGTAATGCCTACATACTAACTCTAAAGCTGACGAGATGTCAGCAAATGCTACCAAACGAAGTATAGCATCAAACCTACTGGTGTCACCTGCTTGCTGCAAGCTTACATCTGATGGCACGATGGACCTTCTGTTCTCCTACAACAAGTGACTGAACAGTAACATAGTTAGCGATGTAATTGCCCGGTGTCCAAAGTTCGGTTTTCACGGCATTCCTACAACAGGTTATTAGGCGTCAAAGATGTTTTGATGAGAACATGAAAACTCACCAGATAAATGACGGAAACACTCCGATGTAACGGCCCTGAGTAACACAATAAAAAGGAGGTTTGAGATCGCACCAGGTGGGCATATTATAGAACACTCCTTGATACGAATATAGCAGGCATTTGTCTGCCATGGCGTTTGCAGCCTCCTCAAACTCTATACTGCCCTCATATACAGTCACAGACTCCACTGGTTCGGCCATGTAGGGTGTCATGATAATACTGAGCGAAATAGCATGAGTGGGTCGCGCATTAAGAGGTATTTGGGGAGAGGGGAAGCTGAAACTTTGTACTGTGGATTTTGAGTTAGCCTGAGAAGTGCCTCCATTAATAAAGTAAACCACTCACCCTGAATCTCGGGCATTGACAATGTTGTATGAGCGGTGGTCAATGCGAGTAGAGCAAACTAGTATTCGCAGTGGTTTCCGAGTTAGCCTTATGATCTGCCACCAGTGATATAGTAGACTACTCACTCTGAATCACGTTAAATTTGATGTCGTGGCAGGGTCTAGCAAACTTGATTAGACTTAAAACAGCGAGCCGATAGGGTACCGGTATTGAAATTTGATTTGTGTTGCTGAGATTTCAGACGGCATGAGTCACCGGATGCATCACTGATGCATCATAACGATTACTGCAAGTCATTAAGATCAAGAGTACAGTACGCACAATGAACAATGAAATTGTCTGTGATCCCAGCAGGGACATTGGGTATGTCTAGGAAAGTGAATGTGATTTTGTGCAAGAGCCATGACCGGAACGTACCATGAGGGGTACATCTTGAAGAACACTGGAAGAAAGATGTATAGTGGGTACCGGCATCGAATACCTGCCGCACATGAGATGTAAAGTCAGGAAGGAAGAATTATTGGAGTCGGTGTCAATCGCATAGCTCCCAGCAGTAAGGCATCTTTGGTGGCACATTAATAACCCAAGGTACATGGGGACGGCACAAACTTACAGAAGATATTTGTGTCGAAAGAACCAGCATTGCATGGAGCATGATTTTGCAGCCGCGATGTAAAGACAGGAAGGAAGAATTCTTGGAGTCGGTGTTGATCCCATAGATCCCCGGACCATGCTTTTGTAGCTGCATCTCAGTTGTTAAGATAGAATGATTGAAGTCGGCGTTGATTGCATAGATCATGTTGACATCAGCTCTTAGTTAGTAATTGCACTGCAGCTGCTTTTGGCTGATTTCAATCAACTTCAATCATGATAACGTTGGAACGAGTCATTGCTCAATAACTACTGCTGGTTCACTCATGCCTTACTGCTGGCTCTCACTCATGCCTTTTCACACCGTGTTGTATTAATCATTTGTGGTCCAGGTGAGTATCTAGCAGCTGTCCAATACAACACATGTACTTATCGCAATACTCTCCAGCTTGTTTCAACTGTTGGAATCTTCGCTCAATAACTACTGCTGGCCCATACTAGTGGTTCATGCAAATGCTGAATTCCGATATTCAATGCCCAGGTGAGTCTCCGCTTGTTCTAGGCAATATTCTTCAATTTACAACGCTCTATGTACCACAGCCTAGTGTGAGCTTTCACTGTCATGGTATCTTCTTCCCCTTTGACGATGGTTATCAGCGTCTCCCAGGTGCTTGAAAGCAAAACTCACTACACCACTGGACACATGTATCTTCAATGCAGTCTTCACGATGTTGGGATAGGATCCTAGGCACAGGTAAAGTCAGTCTTCTACGCACATCATCATCCAAGCTCACCTTGATCAATCCATAAGGTATTCAGCAACTCGAAACCGCTTGATTAGGTTCGGTTGCCTCATTACCCGCTCCACCACAAACACAGACTGGTGCCGGTACCACCATGTTTGTTTTCATTGACCTGTGGTCAGATCCTGTAGTAAGTCATCACTAAATTAGCATCTTTTTTCATGGGCCGATATTGATTTGCAATGGGCCCTGATCAGATGCTGGTGGAATGATATAAAGACGGATACGTTGTAAATGGGCAAAATCGACTATCATTGCACACAGCAAGAAAAAAGGTATGACAGCGCCTCTATTAGCAATGTACTCAACTGAAAATCATATGGCAGATGCCACAAGCTCCGTGGACTACTAAAGAGCAGTGTAAATGGCTCCAAGAACAGTTGCCAGAGTATACCGCCCTACATGGCAGCAAGGACAAGGACTACACGCTCTTCTGGCCTAAGATTCATCTTTATTGGTTTAAAACATGGCCCGAGCGAGCGATCCTATTCCCTGACATCCTTGTGGAAACAACACTAACAAAGGTGCAAGAAACCGCAGTAGGTGATGCCGAAGATGCGCATAAACTCGTAAGTCATCAAATGTGGACAATATTTGATCACTAAAGCAAAACCTTGGTAGCAATTGCAGACCTGGTTCTGTTGGCGCACAAATGTGTCCAAGAAAAATCGCGGCTTAAAGAAGGATGCATCCATCTTTGAAGCTGCCCTGCTACCAAAGTCACGTGCAAAATTGGTCGAAGAAATTTACATGGATATGGTGTACGACAAACAGATCAAACCTCTTGTCAAGGCCGAACAAGAGGCAGGTAATGTAACTACATCTGGTTGCCACATAGCGTTGGGCCGAAAATTTTGCAAAGAGCTTCTAGAAGATGAGTCGGATGAAGTTAAGCAGGAGGTCAGAGAGAAGTATAACAAGCAGAAGAAGGTAAAGAAGGGCAAGTCAAACCACGAAGATGATGACGATGACGAAATTGATGCTGATGCTATTGTGAAGTAAGTACTAATTAATCTTTATAATTTTGATGGTACTCACAGGCCTATAGAGGTATTGACGATTTACCAATCATATGCCAACGCTTTGCACGCCTTGTCAAGAAAAAGACTTGATTTATAGTCTCCTTCACATGCACTGGACCGGACCCAAGGCACAATTGGGACATCATAACATTATCATAAGTGCATCAAACCATAAACATGACTACCAAGCTTACCTTAGTTAGGTGTCATCCATCAGAAACCCCCGCCGGAAGTAACTTTGCTCAATTATGCCCTGACAAGGACAACACCTTCCTTGCCGAATATCAGCAATATGCTGAATTAATCTTCCGTAAGCTAATCCTTATTTTCTAAGTCTCTATAGACTTACCCTAACACTTGACCATCAGCTGCAAATGAGCGCAACCCACTCCTTGAAGATGTCACAGGGGAAGATGAGACTAAGGAGCTTGAGCGATGCGATGGTGGTGGAGAAGCCAGCGAAGCACTGGCAGAAGAAAATGGAGAGGATACTGGAGAGAACGACAAAGGATCGGCTGATAATTCCATGGACTGGGATTGTCCAGGTATTTATATCGTTTCGCATCTACCTAATGCAAGCTGATGCATCAATGACAGGCTTGGCTAGTTCCTCGACCGGACTCAGTGATGCATCAATTACACGCTTTTGTAACACAGAAGCCAGCATCAGTGATGCACCACTTGATCATTCTGGATTCTATTCTGAGGTAAGAACCTTTCGTTGTTCTCTACTAAGCCATCTGACATTTTGCGGCACAGGCACAATCTGATGCATCACTCGAACAGGCCCCCAATGCATCACTTGCACAGGCCCTGCCTGATGTATCACTGGATTGGCAGGTGCCATCCTTTTCCCATGCCGAACTTATGTCGATGGGTTTTTTTTGGTACCTGCGGCACCGCGCAGGACTCATTTCCTTCGGCATTTGGCTCATCAGCACCCTCGTTCACTGACAATACTATTGAGGGGTTCTATGATGCACAATACAACACACACACTTGGAATCACGGTACCCTTGATTCACAGAGGTGGGACATGCCTAGTCTGAACTCTTTCTTAAGTTCCCTGATCTCTGCTGAGTGCAGCACAACCACACCTGAGCAGGATGGTGTTGACGTCCTTCCTCAATTTACTAGTCAGGATCCCATTCTTCCAGCAGCAAATCTTCCTTCTCCAAACGAGGGTGTGCAAGATCTTGCCGAGGCTCACACTGGCACTGGGCTTGCTAAGTCTAAGCGCAAGTGTAAGCCAAAGCCTTCAGCTGCCAAAGTCAAAGGCAATCCCACCATGGATCCCACCCCTGCCATCGCACCTGCCATCACATCCGCGAACGCGGCTAAACCCAAAGTACAACCTCTTGCCAAGTCTGGTATGATAATGGAGATATCACACGCTGCCGCAACTGCCCTCGATACCGCCACTACGACACAGAATCCCAGGCCTGCAGTCAATTCTGGAGCAGCTCCACGTGCTTCCAAACGTGTTCCGATCAAATTGAGGCGGAATGAAATCGCTGATGCCATTGGGTTGGGTGGAACATCGACAAAGCGTCCCAATAACGCAACTACGGAGGGTATGATTCCTACCAAGTATGTCCCCGTTATCTTAGTCTATCCTCACTTGCTCAATGGACACAGGAAAATACATACGAAGGCATGAGCCTATGTTTTCTTGTCGTGATCGCAAATTTACTTGTCAGCTCAATTTGTTTCATTTCGTATCATACAAGTCTCGGAATCTGCTTCTCTGCTTGATCTATATTGTAGTTCTATGAGTAATAGTCTCTGTTTTCATCGTATCAGTGATGAATGAATATAGTTGTGTCGTGTCATCAATGTAATCACTAAGTATATTGCAAGGGTGGAATACTGTGATGGGGCGAAGTGTGATGAAGTTCGAGGGCACAAACTAGTACATTGGGTCGAGTCAGTGTGCTAGGGAAACATCCTCAAAGTACCTCGAAGGCATTGTAATTTGGTAAGTATAATTGATATGGGGTGCGCTCTGGGTACCATTCTGGGTGGACTCCCTGTCTATATCTTGCTGATCTGAGGCGCTCTCTGCAGTCCACCCTAGCCCACCCTATCCCATGAGTCACTCTCTGCAGCCCACCCTATCCAAAGGTGTGGACCCATGCCCTGAGAGTGGCTGCGCCCATTAATGTTTAGTTCGCACATGACTTGGAAGGCGGAGTCAAGGGATGGTATAGTGGTAAGGGTGGTTGCACACAGCTGTGAGCCCAAGGGAACCATGCGCAGCACATGGCAGCGAGCAGGCGGCAGGATATGGACCTGGGCATTGTTATCAGGTACAAGGACTGCAACCGTTGGACAATTCCTGATTGTATACTGACAAGGGTGGTGGCACACAGCTGCGGGGCTGCAGGACGGATCAGTGCGCAGCATATGGCGGCTAGCAGGTGGTAGCGGGTATTGTTGATCGAGTACAAGTGCCTAAGAGTGACTGTGGGACGATTCCTAATTTTCAAAATATCAATCGGATTTGATGCATCATTGATGCATGATGTGCCATCAGCTGTAAAGCATCAGGATGCATCGTTGATGCATTACTGATGCATTGCTAATGCATTACTCCATCCAAGAATACACTGCAGCGCTGATGCATCATTACATCCCTACAATTGCAACACCATCTTGCATCAATATGACAATAGGGCCTGGCAATCACTCATTGGCTTCTATACATATTTTGTTGCCCGAAGCAGAACAATAGATTTATGCAATACCTTATGTCTTACCCTACCTCATAATGCATAATTGATATGCAAAGGTTATGCATTATGCAATATGCATTATGCATGCAATTACATGGGAACGCCGTCGGGATCCTCAAAAGTCTATGCATTATGAGATTTATGCATTATTACCATATGCATTATGAGCATATCAACTGTAATCTGAATGCTAAGACTGCGCTTCTGTTGCCAAATAGACTATGTGCGTGGTTCGGATTGAACACTGTTCACCACGATGAGATGGGACAATGTGGCTTTGTGTCGTAGTGTCCTAGTATGATGATGTCTATGATACAGTGTTCGCCCTGAATCTGTCAACCTTCTCTGATTAAGCCTCGGAATCGACCGTGGGACACTTCTCTTCGTCCTTGTTGCCCATGAGACCCCTAGTCCACCGCTATACGTAGTACGCATGTCATGTGTATTAGTTCTGCTCACACGTTAAGCTATGATAAAACATATATCCTCGCAGGTTGTCTAAACGTGGAATCCGTGCATGAGAAGCAAATGAGAGGTAATGTAAATGTCATTTCAGCACTCTATGGCCTGTACACCGACTGTCATCCATCGACAATAAAAATCAAAGTGTTTCGAGCAACATACTTCAAGGCGCAATTCAAAATAGCGCCGCGTCAATGCTGCTTCTGTATGAGGATACCCTGGTGACCAAGATTCAAGAATGCCCGTGTCACGGCCGTGGCAGGCGCATGGCCCGTTGTCATTGGCTTGCTCCACGCTCGACCGGCTCTTGTTTAAGCCTCTACCAATGATCAAGAGATTCTATGATGCTAGCGTGAATGCTGTTTTCGAACTTACAGATTAATCTTGACGAGCAGCAGTTATAAAGCGCATGAGCACGGAACTGACGAGTGAACGAAAAAAAACCGCGCTTAGCTTGACACTGGCCCATTACTCGCACCTGTTGATGGTAAGAGTCACATCATCAACCTGTACTTAGTTGTAGATCCGAATTATGACACCCAGATCCTATGCCAAACGTTAACGAGGAGAGGTTGGGAGAATGAAACCCCGTTGGCGTTCATAAAGATTGCATTTGCATTTGATTGGTTCCATTAATGATGCGAAAAATGGCAGTGAGAGTGAGTACAACGACAGTGATGCAGTCGCAATATATACCAAGCGTTCCAATAATAATGCAAGATTCTGATATCAAGACAAAGAGGGATATGATTAAGGACGAAAGCAGCATCAAAGGAGGGGGTGGAGATAATAAGCCCGAGAGAGGCTGGGAGGTGACGTTATAGAAGCGCATCGCCATCCTTGCCAGACGCGACCAGCTCGGTCCAGTCCAGACGCCACTGCGCCATCTGTGATCGCAGCTTTTTGTCGCCGAGCATGCGTTCTATCCAGGATAGAAGCGTGTCGTCGTCTTCGGGTACGAAGAAAGAAGAGAGAAGGGAGAGTATGGTCTCGAAATTTGCGGAACTGGATGTGATGTGATCTATTGATTGACGTCAGAATATGGTTTGATGAAGAGATTAGATTAGAGTGACATGCCTCGGTAGACCCATACGATGGCCACTGCCACGGCGGTGAAAAGATCTTCTCCTTCCAGGAGATACGCGTCCCATAACCGGAGCTGCGTCTGGAAAGGGACGGAATTGGCGAAAAGCGTGATGTACCACTTGGTCGCGTATGAAGTCGTAGAGATCATGTGTTTCTTGAACGCAGCGTACACGTCCGGCATCTTCGATTCCATGATTCGTTCCTGGACATAAATGGCCTGCAACAATCCTGGAAAACCGGGGGAAAAGATGGAGTGCATGTTGTAGGTATCGTGTAAGCGGGAAAGAGCAGCATAAACTTTTTCAGGTTCGAAGTAGCATAGCAGGGTTGCTGCTATAGGGCCCATGCCCTGCACATAACCACATTGAGAACATTGTAACGAGAAGGAGTGCAGGACGTGGAACAGGGACCGTTGTCTGGAGTAAGGGGTTCAACCTTGGCAAGATCAAAGTAGGAACTGATACGTACCCTAGTCCGTACCGCGTGCGAAACAGGATATGACCGCTGATCGTTCTTGGCACATCCAAATCGATCTGAATATCGTAGCTCGAGGGTTTCTCCAAGTCTTGCTGATAGCAATCTCCCAGCTTTTCGATCGCCTCACGTCCGGATTTCGAAAACCGATTCATGAGCACCTCCCAAGCTGCCCTTCTCCACCTATCAGGGATTCCCTTGTATACCCTCTGACGAAGTTTGTGTGCTTTCGATGGCTTGACAATCCACGATTCTATATTCCCGCCACTGTCTCGACTCAGGACTTCCAGCATCCTGTCCCACTTGGCAACCCGCATCTGTTCCTTGAGCGGAGATGAAGCTGCGGGCAAAGAGCTGACGGACACAGCATGGCTCGGAGCTGACTTTGAACCAGCCCTGACAGGTGCTAATCGTTTGAGTAGAGGACCAGATGGAAGTCGGATCAGTCGGTCATGAGATGGTACGAAGAAGAATCCATAGCTAATGGTAAAAGATGAGATTTGAGAGGACGTGCTCCCCGATCCAAGCTCACCGATCTAAGCTTGACAGCACGTTGAGCTCTTCAGCTTCAAGGTCTCGTGATCTCTCTGAAGGACCAGCTAGAGCAGCCTCCGCACGTAGTTCACTTCCTCTACTGGCACGGATTCGTGCGCGTGTGCGCTCCACGCCCTCCTCGTAGCCATCACCCCTGACACCAATCGCGTTCAGGTGTGCATAGGTGCTTCGCACGTGGAACGCGTCCAGGTCTTCACCTTCTGCCAGCGAGGGGACGAGTGAGGTTTTGCTAGAAGGACAGCTTAATTTTGACTGCTGTTGTGTGGTGGGAGAAGAAGATGGAGATTGAGAGGGCGGTGGGATCAAAGAAGATGTCGGCTGTGGTGGGGTGAGAATCAGAGTAGGTTCAGGGACAGGTGATTCCGTCCTTCTCAGCAGGGATGGTGGACGACTATGGGGAGGCGTAAGATGTGATACAGGAGGTAAAACGGCGTCTATGTCAGTTGAAGAACTACATGAAGTGAGATCACTTTGGTGGCGACTTGGTGTGAGAGGAACGCGCTTGGAACGTGTAGGAAGTTCTAGCGTGTCTCTTCCATGAGAAGTAGTAGCATAACTTGGAATTGGGGATGGATAGGATGAGTGGGCAGAACCATTGGATGTAGCCGATGTCCGTGTCCGATCGTGAGGGTTAGACAGCTTGCTAAAAGGCTTCATGTCTGAGGAAAGGTCGATATAAGTGGTGTCGGTATTGGAAACATATGAAGTTCGTTGATTAAAGAAGTTACTGTAGGTGAAGCTGTCCCCCAAGGTCAAGTCAAGTTCCTTGGAAGGATCCTCGAAAGTAGAAGATGCAGTCCAGCTGGTTTGTGCTTCGTCGTCGTCACCGTACATGGAGTAGATTGTGAAAATAGCAGTTTCTGTTGAACTGCGTTCTCTGTCGGTTGATGAATCAAGTTCAGGGACTGATGATGCTCTCGACGAAGGCGATGACCTCGGACGACTTGGTAATGGTTTCGGCAGCGCAAGGGTGCTCGACGACGGAGTCTCCATAAAATAATTGGCAGACGAGAAAAGAACTTGGAGAAGAAATTGGTAAAAGGGAATTGTATTGAAGGAGCGTCGGAGGAAGAAGCTTGGGAAAAGACTATATAGGCCCTTTGAGCACTCTGGATGAGAGATTTCAATGAACGCCAATTAGGCAAGTCTTCTCTTGGTCCGCAACAGCCTCATCGCTGGCATCCAGCTGGCATGGCAATTTTACGGTAACGTCACATAGCCAATCTCACTCCTAGCACTAACTAACTACTTACAATATTACCAGCTAGTTCTTGGCTAGTAATTGCCAGGTTTCAAACAATGATCTTGTATCCCTTTCAGGGCTTGGACCCTCAAAGCCCGGTTCCAT